TGTGACAGAACCTGTCATATCATCATCATAATAATATGATGATGTTACATCATGATTACATGCAGGAGCAGCAAGCGTGGCTGAAAATGAAGGTAACACTGCTGTGAAAGAGTTATTTAGAATTCTTGGATATAAAAAGTACAAAAAAAGATAACTATCTTCAGCAGACTTCTACATAATCCACATCTTTTTATCTGTCATGCAGTACCATATTATTAACTATAATGCTGGCCAGGAATGTAGCTTTAATGCAGCTGTACACAATTCCATCCAACAAAACATGGATAACAGCTAACACATATCATATAGAAGAGGAGAGAGTGCATTAAGGGGAAGGACTGATGGGGAAGAGAGAGGAGATGGAGACGAATAGCCAGTGAGGATGGGGGGGTGATGGATAGGCACAATAATGGACGGAGGGAGCCAGCTATTAGGTTGTGAATAAAGAGGAGGGCCTGATGGCCAACACAGCAGCTCCGGTGTCATTAGTCAAGCGCAACCAACAGCTTGCAAGCAGAGGAGGAACTCAAGACACATGGATCAACAAACACATACAAGCTCACTGAAGTGCAGCATGACACAGTGAGCCGCCCTGGCTTATACAGCCAATTAGGAAGGAGGGGCAGAGAAAGCGATGGCAGACAGAGAAAAGAGAGGGATAAGGAGGATGTCAGATGTAGACAGATGGAGAGGGAGTTGGGGGGGTAGGGCAGGAGAAACTGAGATGAGGGAAGAGGCAGTGTGAAATGCATGGTCATAGCGGTGGGAGGTAGGTGTGAAGACTCAACAGCTCAGTGATAGCAGAGCAAGAAATACTTCAGCTGCCCTGCACCTATACCAACAAGCACGTCCATGGAAACACAAATGCACAGCTCCGCAGACAGACATGCAGGAGGTCAGGTTCTCAGTAGGCTAACAGATGAGCTGAAGTGAACATCCCCCACTCCTGAACACTGGGGCCAGTATTGAGCAAATTGTTGCTTGGTACGCTAGAATGAGGAGAAGAAGGTGCTGTAGGTCTTTGGTTCTTCTTACCATTGCTAACTCTGAGAGACGAGACAGTCCAAGTAACTTCAAAACAGTGCTGATTTATTCAAAGGATCACAGGTAAAATTAACATTACACGCTCGGGTATCTTGCACCTCCAAACTGCTCGCAGGCAGATGTAAGATGAAAGACCCTGAACCCACCAGGCCTATACATTATATCCCCTCGGTTGGGCTAGCCCCATACTACACAGAAACGTCAACCGAGACGTCTCTGTTACCAGCTTTGCAGCTGGTCATAGCAGTAGTCAAAACATGAAGTAAATCAATGTGTGTGTGTGTCTGTTGGTTAAGTGGTGTGTAGCTAAAAACATTCTCACAGACTTCTAGTAACATGTCGTGACTTAAACATAAGAACATATTATGGCTAAGGCTACAGTTATACACGTCATAATAATAATATTAAACATCCTGTCTGCTGACAGTCATCAACTCTTCTCTCTAGTTATCCTTGACTAGATGTACCCTGTAGAAACTCATAAGCATGACTAAGCATTTAACAGTCTAACTAGACATCCTATCTCCACTAAACATTTCTAATACATAAAGTATCTATCCAATTTCTATCTGACTAAAAATACCTAACAGTGCCAAACTAGGACAATACACATAAAGGTGGGATCTGTACTTTACTGGAGATGCTTTTCAAACACTGTGATCTACTTTTTCAAGAGAGAAGACCTTAAGGATGGTTACTAAGTAGCTGGTTTTGCATATGCGTGTCCGGTTTGTTTGCTCATCTCCGTTAAAGTGTTGTGTACAAACGTGTCCTCACTGTTTCTACGAGATGTATCCGGGACTGTCTCAGCCCTAAACAGGGCTAGCATTCCCTTCATCCAGCAGTGTTTGTAAATTGTTCAGTGTTTTTTTTATTTTCCTTTCACCTGTGTCATTTCTTGAAAAGGAAAATTTGAAATTCTGCCACACAGATGCTCTAAAAGTCAATGATGGAGCATCTGCTATGTCAGTTTCAAATTTCAGTACTAATGAAATAACCACATGCAGATACTGTCATAGTCCCACGACATTAGACACATTTTTCTATTGCAATATTGTGAAATTACAAATATCATTACATCCCTATATAGTAATGTAGCAAATAAAGCAGAGTTGGTATGTGTTGGGTAAACTTGTCAACATCCGACTATAAAACAAGCAGCACACATGTGGGTAAGTCTGTTCTTGTGGTCACCCACCCTCTCTCGCTCTCTCTTCACTGCACACAAACACGGAGAATGTGTCAGCTTCCCTGCTTTCCTCCAGGGAAGTGACCCAAATGTGAAATCAATAGTTTTGTCCCTGCCCTAACAAGATTGGGTTCCATCCAGCCACATAGGTACACAGAAGCTCAGGTGGTCTGCTGCAGTAGGGTCACACACATATATAGGCCTACTTCTGAGCACGATGCAGCACTGCAGCAGCAGACAACAGAGGCTGAGTGCTGAGATGAACTAACTGGACGTTAAAAACAGGCACTGCTTTAAAAGATGTAAGACCTGCTGCTCTGGTAAGACAAAGTGCAAATTGCTGCAATGCTGATGCTTTCTTTTTTGTGTAATTGAAGTTTGTGTGCTCGGTGAGGTATAAATGCAAAGGCCTGCAGCATTACAAAATTTCTACCCTAACTTATTAAAGTAAATGGGTCCTGGCTGTATGTGGGACACTGTTAAAAACAAAACAAAACAATCAAACAGAACAACATAGTAATGTAGTATTATGAACTCATATGACTTCAATACTTCCCAATTGTTCATCTTTTAAAAATATCTAATATAATTAAGCCTCTCTTCCTCTGTTATCACCTGCTCTTTATGGTTTTCCTCATCCTTTTGTTGCATGGTCTAGTGAAACAGGAGGTTTATACGTACTGCCTGTTGGGGAATACAAAGCACAGTAGGTATCACATACTGCACAAACAGCATATACCAAAGCACACGGATGGATAACCTGTGTGTGGAAAGACATGTACTGCAACAAGCCAGCCATGTGCAATGTGCTGTACCTAAAGCCAAAAAGATACTTCATACATACAGTATGTCTGCACACATGCCACAAGCAGCTGGGGATGTGTTTGTCCATTATCTTACTACATTTGCCATCTCCCCTTTGCTCAGTCCATAATAATAGTCCTCTTAACCCCTGCAGCTCACCACTGGTTGGCTACTGCTGAAAAGCTTCTTCGTATCGGAATTCAAAACAACTATCCAAGTATGTGTTTGTGTGTCTCATCGGAAAGACACGAAAAATGTGCCAGTATATTTCCTGCCACACTACCTCCGCCATTCCTGTCATGCCAATATTATACACACACACATTTCCCAAAGGTCTTAATGGCTGCAACTTGTATCTCTTCAGGAACAGCAGGGGAGACCGTTTCAAGGATGGTCTGTTTTAACAATGCCCAAATGTACGACTGAAGCGGTTGCCATGACAACCACATCACAGACCAATGACAAGTTAAACCATGGCCTTGCAGGTGTCATGTAAATGTCAAACAAGATTGACAGCTGAGTGCCAGAGCTAGTGAGCATCTCTGCATAACAAACCCCATAAAACATATGACACTGACACACACAGTCATCTGCCAACACACAGCTATCCACCTTTATAAAGCTCTCTGACACATTCTTACTTCCTGAATGGTTAAGTCCAGGGGAGCGAGCTTCCTCCTCTCAGCCTCAGGCTCTGACAGCCAGCTTCCTTCCACAGCCTCACTACTGGGCTTGTTACACATCACAAGTTCATCTTGTAGGGTGAAAATTATTTAGTACGAGTCTGGACCTCCCCATTACTGTTTCCTAGACATTAATCATTTATAAATACTTGGTCCAGACCTGTATTTCTCCACTGTCAAGCCAAGGTTTATAACCTTTGTAACTTGTATAAGATCAATTAAATCATTCCCTATCACAAATGAAAAACTTATGCTATACATAAATTAGGAGAGGGTACGAGTAATAGATTAATGGATGGCAATGTGCCTATTTAAAGCATCATACACAACCTAAAGATAGTAAGTGTAGACAAAATAATCTGTTGTACTGATAACAAGATGACCAGAGCTGAAGAGCTATGGGTATTTAGCTAATTTTCCTGAACATAGAGTATTATGGAAAACCATATCTAGCTTGCAGTGTTACTCCTGCTTAAAAAGCTTCTGCATCTTGTGTTTGCTGTTGCTCTGCCACATTATGTAAGCCATAACTGCCTAAAGCCTTTATGATGCACTTTATTCATTTTTAAGTCGGCAATAAAATTCTTGGTAATTCAAAACTGACAGTGACTGAGGCGCTCTAAAAATCAATTTTCTAGTTCTCAGTAATCGATCTGTAAAGCAGTACATTATGCAATTACTTTATCTCTAGAAAAAAAAGGAACATCAACATCCCTAGTATAAATATGAGTGGAAACTTTGAGCCTGGATTGTAAATTCAAACAGATATGTGACAGTGAGAGAATAAACACTTACTGAAAAGAGCATTTCTTGCTACAGGCCACAGCCCTGGTTATACCCCACATGGTTCCACTTTAATGATCTCCTTCAGCAAAGAAGACTCTCCCTGACAAGATCCTCAGACGCCTTTTTCATTTGGCTTTGATTTACAAGGCCATCTGACAGAGGCTTTGATGAGGGAGGGTGACGTCTCCCTCTTTACACTGGATTTACCTCTTTTTACAACAAAAATATAGCTTCACACTGTCAACTGGAGATTCCTCTTACTGTAAAATGCAAAGCAGAAAGCTGACACACAATATCTGATGCACGTTTGACATGAAGAAGTGCTACAACAAAGCAGACATTTGAGATCACCTTAAACCTAACCTTCTACAGCAGCAACTTGTGTTTTTGCTAAGCTTACTGGTAGCAACATCAGTACTGTTTTTCCTTTTGCCTCCGTCTACAGAACGACGCAATGGCACAACTTATGCACTCCAGTTTACAGGAACTCTTACCTCTGAAGTGGCTTTCTTTCCTTCCGGCTGAGGTTAAAGGTCTGATGAAACCACCACTCCACACTGTGACTAGGCTTTTATCCCCTGAAAGAAAGAAGAAAATCTATCAGATATGATTTTATGTCTAACTTTGTGATTCTAGTAGCAGAACGTGATGCCAGCTTTGGTCACCTAATCCTAGGCCATTAGTCAGTGACATAGCAAATGTATGAATTGACTGCATTTGCTCTCACTGCACTGCAGGCGAATTCAGAGACTTGGCAGCAGCAGCAGGAGGAGAGTAGACCCATCTCACTGTCACAAGAATGCAGAGGATTAGCTATGGAGGGTGCTTGAGCAAGAGACTTAAATGCAGTGCAGACTAAATGACACGCACAGACAGAAAGACACTTATCTCAAAGCTCTGAAAGCAATCAAACATTTGTTTTCCCTTCATTATAAACTCTCATCATTACAATGAGATTAAGAATGTGACACCTGAGCTGCAGACACCTTCTTCATTTGACTACAAAGCCCTGCATGCACACACACACATACAGCCACCTTAATAAGCATGTAACCACCACAGGCTAATAATTTCACAACATGAGTCAGAGTAAAATCTCAAACCTTGTCAAAACTCTTGTGTATTGACTGTGACTCACCAGTCACCACCAGATCTCAACAATGCTGACCAGCAGCAACACCAGTGCTGACTCACACAGGCCTAACCTGGTTTTATCTCGGACAAATTGAATGCTGAATCATAGTTTGGCAATAAAATATAATTCAGGTATGTCAGCTTATAACAAGCTGAGCTGGCTAGGAAATGCCACTGCTCTGACTTGGTCATGGTGTGTTTTTACTTTGTCTGTGTGTGTGGGAGGCAGCTGATGTTGTGGCTAACTACTAGGAAGCTATTCCCACTGCCCTCAGCTGTCTTTTTCTACACACCAACTGTTGTTCAGCCACAGCATGTGGCCCTTCTCTTGGCAAACTGTGTGTGTGCATGTGAGATGTGTGTGTTTTCACAGCAAACAGTCCTCTTGTAACAGGGAGAGAGCGACAGAAAAGAGCGTGAGCTTGTGCGCTGACATGCATGTCGCCATTCATGTGCGTTTAAAAACACACATCTGCCTCCTCAGATTACAGGTCAGCTCTCCGTTCCTGCCCTCCTCCACCACCTCACCATGTCTCTGGTGATATTTGCACACAGTTAATGTGTGATATCATTCAGTCAACACAAGGCCATAGAACAGGTGTGGTAGTGACACATGGGTCTGTGCAGCTGCAGGGAACACAGTTGCTCCAGTCACAACAGCACAGGCGGTGGCAGACAGCTGCTCCTAAGCTAAAAACAAAGGCAGGCCTGCGATACATGCACAACTTATGATCAAGAGGCAATAGTTACTCATGGATGAAGAGGACACCTACATTTAAATTTATTAAAAATTAATCCAGTTGAACTATTCCCCAAATGGCACTGAATTTTATTTGGCTATAAATTCTGTCATAAAAATGGCAAAAAGAATGCAGTCTAAATGTTGTCCTAGTATCAAGGCACTACATGTATCACCTGTATTAACAAAACACACCAGTGCTGTTAGTCCATTTTTGGATTATTCATATAGCTGATTTTTCAAATGCAGTATCCAATTTTCTCCTGCAGCACCAGTGCAGTGCTGGCACACAACATGCTTGAGAAGTACAAATACACATCAGATCTGTGTTTATGAAGCCTGTGCATTAAGGTACATGGGACAACACGCCCTGGAAATGATAGCTTCCCTGGGCACTGAATGCGGAGGCAACTCTGTGGGCACTATAAAAAATAAAAACACATAACTGCCCACAAAAGGTGCCCTGTGTATCACTGCCTAACAGACAAAGGGGAAACACATGGCCCTATGTAGTGGACACAGGTGTGTCCTTGTCCATCCATGCATCCCCCATTAATAACAGTCATTTCCTGTCATGACAGGAAGAGGGAAGGAGGGCAGTGCACTGAGCAAGCAGGGGAGGTGATGATGTCATAGCAGGGAAAGAAAGGCAGGATTGTTATAGGGGAAGTACAGCAAATGAATAAGCAGGCATAAGGCAGAGCTACAACATGATATGCAGTATATGTAGGAGTACATGCTGGTTCTGTACCTCTGTTAATTCCCCAGTACTCTAATATGGGTTTTACATAACCACATAACAGACATTAAAGAAATAAAATAACACACAAGCCCCTACACAGGGTCTTTGTTGCTCAGGATGACACACCACATTAAACAGGCAGATCAGTCCACACTGTGCCCTTTAGGCATTTGTGCCGGGCCCATTCAAAGAGAGGGGTAATATACCACTCACACTGATCTTCAGCTATGTTATTCATGCACAAGACTTCCAGTTTTGGGGAGATTATACTGTAATCCTCTATGTCCCTGTTTGCATATAAATTTACTTTTACTCATAAACACCACCAGCAAATGCTTTCTTTTGTTAAATGACAGCCATACAGCACCATCTGTTATGATTCTGGCTCTTTTAAATGTTACAGCATTTTTTATTTCATAACATCAAAAAATTCAAAATAAACAGGTTATGTCTTTCTGATTTTCAAGCTTACATGCAGTGATGCCCAATCTAATATAATGCACGAGTATTACCACTGTACAGCCTTAAACCAAGCTATTAACAGAAAGAAGAGTCTGTTCTTAACCATATCTGACCAGAAACAAACAAACAAACTTAGTGATGCAACAGAAACTACAGATGAATGATTAAAGATGCACTCACTTGTGTACAAATCAACATCTGGAAATGTGATATACCAAAACACAGGGAGGCAAATGCCACTCAGTGTGATAATCTGGCGGTGACCTTTGATTCACAACAGGAAATAGACCCAGTCCCTGCTTCACCACAGACCTGTGTAAGAATGACTGGAAACAGGACGGTTTATTGATCACAACCAACCAACAGCATTTTAATCTGGTTTCAGAACAATGGAAGGCCTCAGCAGTTACCCTCAGCATTCTTGTAAGGGCACTGAGGTAAACCATCAGTTAGTGCTGATCCTCACTGGGAAGGTGCTTTAGTATTGATTACTGTGTTGCTTTTATACCAAGTCAAGTGCAGCTTAACGAAGCAGCTGCTTCCAACTGCCTGACCTCTTCAGCAGGTCAAAACAAAGCCACGTCAAAAGACACCAGTCACATTTAAAGTCTGAAAATTGCTGTGCAAGCTGTTTAACTGTATAAGAATATGTTAAAGCTACAATATGTAGCTTATGGTAGCACTAGCATGAAGCTCCAAATCAGTCGCCCCCTCTTCCTGTTCCGCTCCCTACGCGCCGCCCAGCTCTTCAAATGTTTGTCGTTATGAAATTACAAGTAATGAGAATGCAACAAAACTTAGTGATAAAATAAAATAAACTGAAATAAATGAAAATCTCTGATTGGTTAATGAGGTCAGTCCCTTTCAAAACCTTTAGAAGCTAATATCTCTGCACTGCTGCCGGTGCTGCTCAGTGAGTCTGGGTCACAGGGTACTTAATTTTATTTACCCAAGTCAGTCAAAGTGCTTTTTTGGTCACACGACAGAACGACTGAGGCTAAACACACACACAGCTTGTTCTCTTCATGAGCTTTAGCCTGTGGTGAAGGCGTTACTACGTCTGCTATTCTCACTTGCACACAATAAACTTGTGATTACAAGGATATGATCTCCTCTCCTCAGAGAGATTCTCCATGATCCATGCAGTGAACACTCTGCTCTGGAAAAGCCACACATGGTGGGAATTATGGAATAATGCTGCATCAGGAATGTTCCCACGACGGCCAGTGAGATCTGTTGGAGGTCCCGCTGGCACCTACCCAGCCAGTGGTGTTTACAGATAATGTAACACACATATGGAGAGTTACACGACCAAATGCCTCTTGTGTTACTGTACTTGTGGATCTGTTCTTATGTTGGATCAAATAGTCTTTTGTGTCGAAGCAGTTGTGCACAGTTTTCATTTAACGGCAAAACAAATCAGCGTGTTCTCAGACCTCATCATTAGCACAGCTTGCTCACAGCTGATCGGCTTAAAGATGGAAATCTCACTTCTCTTTCACACCGTTTCGCTTGGATAATCTCTCCATGGCAATCACCAAGAGCAGCAGGTCAAGCTGCCTGACCACAAATATGTTAGCGACCCTCCTCGTAGCCTCAAAGTTGGTCATGGTGCCAAAACAGGGGGACAGGCCTTGATTCACTCACTGAGTTGGCTGTGTGGCACATGGGGCAAAAATAATCAGGAATCACTAGAGAGTGAAAATCAGTAAAGCAGAGAGAGATTAGCAGCTTACTCAGCCACTAACTTCACCCAGTCAACAGAGGCTCAGGCTCACTCAGAAAGCTGCCAGGGTATTAGTCAATGAGATCTGGCAGGAGGCAGCCATGAAAGGACACACTCACACAGCGCTATTTTGTGAGATTAAGCCTGCAGGTTTGAGTAACTGTCAAGGGATTCTCTCACAAAACTGTGTCAGTCCACTTACACCATGGCAAGCGCGGCTGTTTTCACTTGGATTCAGGTTGTAGGTCACCGCAGTTACTGAGCTCTACATTCCTTCGGTGTCCTGGATGAACCCTGATGTAACAAGAAAAATGGAGCTACATGTCAACATGTACAGTAAATACAGAGCGCTGACTGAAGCCAAGTGTGAAGAAGTGTGGAAGGAAAACTACCAATGACCTCACTGTTTCCAAATCGCTATATTTCACAACATCAGCTGCACTCAAGAATATTTTATTGGTTCTCATTAATCTCTTTCTTCTGTTCTCCTCCTTCTCCATCTGATATTTCCTTACTCTCACCATTACACACTTTGCACCTTCTTCCCTAAGTCATTTTGGCAGCTGTCTGTTGTAAAATCACTGGTGAACCTTGTTGGCTTTGGCTCGGGACGCAGTGAACGTGCAGGCTGTTCTCCAGCTCCTCTCATTTCCCTTCTGAGGTTTCACTGCATGCTTAGTGCTGGATTGTGTAGCTACTTCTCAGACACCAGCTGTGATAACTTTCATGATTACAGGTGAGAGTGTAGTTAAAATCTCTGAAAGGGGGCGGTGAA